GTCAATACGCTACTAACGTGTGTGTGTTTGACCTGTATATGTGTGGCCGGCCATTTTGTATGCACAACCCATAGATGTGTGTATGTTTGTTTATGAAACCTTGTGTGTGTGTGTGTTTTGTATGCTTGTACTATGCCTCGCGGCGTGTGTGAACCCCACCTGTGACATGGAGAACGGTGGACGCGGTGGATATTCCTATTGGATTGGCAGCCACACAAGAGTAGGTGCCTTGGCTTTGGAGACCGACACTGGGGAACCACAGAGAGCCTGAAGACAGGGTTAAGGACGTTTTGGCATCCAGCGCGCGCTCTTTTCTCTGCCAAGTTACTGTGGGCTGGGGCACACCTGGTAGAGGAGGAGAGAAAATAGGGAAAGAGATGAAAAGGAACAGAAATACAGGGACAGAGGTGAACAGAGATGGAGAGAAAGAGGTTGACAGAGATGGAGAGAAAGAGGTAGACAGAGATGGAGAGAAAGAGGTAGACAGAGATGGAGAGAAAGAGGTTGACAGAGATGGAGAGAAAGAGGTTGACAGAGATGGAGAGAAAGAGGTAGACAGAGATGGAGAGAAAGAGGTAGACAGAGATGGAGAGAAAGAGGTTGACAGAGATGGAGAGAAAGAGGTAGACAGAGATGGAGAGAAAGAGGTAGACAGAGATGGAAAGAAAGAGGTAGACAGAGATGGAAAGAAAGAGGTAGACAGAGATGTAGATAGAGACACCTGGAATAGGTTAACTAGTTCAGACATCCCACAAGCCACAGAATAGTTCACCTTAAACATGTATGAACCACACGAAAGATCCAACACAGTACAACTCCCTTATAGAAGAGAGACTGATGTGTGTACTTCAGACCAGTTATTACAGATTATAGGGACAAATCAGTACACTGGATGCCAATCCTTACGTCCTGCCAACTCTCCTCAGACAGAAATCTAGGCTGAGTCACAAGTGGCATTCTATTCCCTATTCCCTATGCACTCTTCTAGTTTTGAGCCCATAGGACTATATATATATATTGAATTAGTGTATATGGAGAAAAGAGTCCCATTTAGGACACAACTTGACAGTAACGAGAAGCATATGAACACATGTGGCCATTGACTTTACTTTGCCACAGACGTTCAGACATATTGCTATATTGCTCTGAACAGCACCAGACCTTAAGACGGAAGGCTCATTCTGTTCGGTCTCACGTTGTCAATCAGCCAATCAGAGCTGGGGTCAATTCCATTTTCGCTCAGTCAAGTTTACTGAAAATCATATTCTGCTCTTTTGAAAAGCAATGACAACATTTGAATTGAGTTTACCTACTGTATTTGAACTGATCCCAAACCTAAAACGTATTTGGCAATATCTAGTATATGTAGTCAACTCTTAAGGTGGAGAATAATATCTACCACTAGAGGGGGGTGTTGTAACATATCTGTTTGCTATTTAGAAAAAATCACATACAAAAAGTCCACATGCATGTTATCACATTGTCACAGGAAAGAAAATGTTAAACAAAATAATGTTAGCATCCATGAATGCTATTGTTATTTAAAATAATAGTAACAAATAATTGTTTAATTATATCTTCTGCGCAGAAAATGGATTAGCGTTTTTGTGACGGAGCCACAGCTGCCCAGAGAAAAATAACTCATTTTACTTTTCATGATGTTGATGCATTTTTATACTCCTTTAAAGCTCTATGACACATTCAATCTTGAAATCTTTTCACTGGGTTAGAGTGTCACAGAGGAAACCAATATTTATCAACTAACCATCCACAGGCCAACTTAACAAATGAAAGATGACATTTCTTTACAGTATGTAGCCATAAATAACTTTCATTGATTCCCTCTGAACTTCTCCAATCTCTGACATGTTACTTCAGTCTAATTCAAATAGCCTTACACCTCTCCATACGCACAGTTCCATGCATGCTGGGACACTCCATCATCCTATAAATCACTGGGTGAAGATAGCAGCTCATAAAACAGGAAAGTATATAGACATACACATTCTGTGTGTGTGTGTGTGTGTGTCCTCCAGGTGCTGAAGGTTATGGTGTGGAGTTGGAGGCAGATGGTTCCGACTAACAGGTGGTGATAAGGCCGGGTAAGGTTCCAAATGACACCCGATTCCCTTTTAAAATATCCTACTCTATTCACTGATGAGCCAGGACAGTATGACAACATACTGTTGGTTCTAATAGGCTGTTGGTTCAAATATACTGTTGGTTCTAATATACAGTTGGTTCTAATATACAGTTGGTTCTAATATACAGTTGGTTCTAATGTGCTGTTGGTTCTAATATGCTGCTGGTTCTAATAGGCTGTTGGTTCTGATATACAGTTGGTTCTAATATGCTGTTGGTTCTAATATACTGTTTGTTCTAATAGGCTGTTGGTTCTAATGGTCTGTGTGCATCCCAAACAGTGCCAACCCAATCGAGGCATGTACTCTTCAAGACCCCTGAATGTGTCCTGTAGTATCTGGCACCAAGACATTTGAGGCAGATCCTTTAAGTCTTGTAAATTGCGAGGTGGAGTTGCCGTGGATTGGACTTGTTAGTCCAGCACATTCCACAGATGCTCAATTGGATTGAGATGTGAGAAATAAGGATCCTCTAACCATTCAAACCAACAATGTGTGCAGTGTGGCAGGGCACATTCATGGATTTAACCATTCTGCTGAATGAGTCTGCTGCCCTCAGTGAAAACCATTGACATTAAGGTTACTGGTCAGACCATCACACTCTGTACCACTCTCTGTACCACTATCTGTACCATCACAATCTCTGTACCATCACACTCCATGTTACCACTTCCTGTACCATCACACTCTCTGTACCACTCTCTGTACCATCACACTCCATGTTACCACTTCCTGTACCATCACACTCCATGTTACCACTTCCTGTACCATCACACTCTCTGTTACCACTTCCTGTACCATCACACTCCCTGTTACCACTTCCTGTAACATCACAGTCTCTGTACCACTTCCTGTATTATCACACTCCATGTTACCACTTCCTGTACCATCACAGTCTCTGTACCACTTCCTGTACCATCACACTCCATGTTACCAAAGTGCATCCTGGTGCCATCATTATTCTGGGGACACTTACCTGTGACCGGGCAGTTTAAAGTGAGGTTGGTTCCTGGTTGTACGCTGACCCGTCCCCCCACCACGGCACTCAGACTGGGGGCCCCCTGGCCAACGTAGTCTACCTGGTCTGATACGTTCCTCCAGGAAACCCCGATCGCAGGAGGCTCTGCCAATAACAGACAACGACATCAGGTGTTTGAGTCTTCAAAACGTACTTAGTTTCACTCTTCTCACTCACAGTGCAAGTAAGAGTTAGTACGAATAAGGATATACATCACTTTTGAGTAGTTGAATATATTTCCTCAAGAGAGTTGTTAATTGTATTAATGCTGTGACCACTGGACCGCTAAACGCCAGAACAGTGTCAAGGCAAACCAAATGACATTTACAACAGCAGACATTTCTCCATTCTGTGAATCATTTTCCCAACGAGTGCACTGAAGACCCAGGGTACTGACCAGCCAGGAGTATCTGCGTTGACTCGGAGTCGGCTCCATGTGAGTTTGTGGCCGTGCACTTGTACACTCCTCTGTCTTCTGGCCCGGGGCTGTAAATGTACAGTCCTCCGGAGCTTTCCCAGCGTACTCTGCAGCAGAAGGACCGTAACCATGGTTATAATTATGCAATAGAACGCAACAGAAACACGTCTGCATTGTTGTGGCAATGCCCTACAGGTGGGAGATGTCCAGTGAGCTGGATGTGTTAATCCAGGACTAGGGTAAATGTGTTTTTGTGATCCTGGCCATGTCATAAATCAGAATTGTAACGACTCCTCCAGGTTCCAACTCCCTCCTTGTTACCGACTGATGAACAGGATCTCCGGGTTTGCCCCTCCTCGGGAACGCGTAGATTTTGTAACACTAATTGTGGTTCAGTTCTGTTCTGTTCTCAGTCAGGCGTTATAGTTTGGTGTCCATGTGTGTGTGCCCTCTTGAGTTCTGCATCTGAGTCCTAGTCTGTCCATCACCAATTATTTTAATATTACACATCCTAACCCAGTGCTACAGATACTTAGGCACTGAACTGTGATGATGACTGTTGCTTTGTGTTCAATATACTGATATCGTTTCATTCGCGAAGCCACAGTCTAAAAGAATACAACGATGACATGAAACTTTTTCAGACAAACTTCATTAGGCTTGGTGTGTGTGTGTGTGGACAGGGAGGAGAGGTAAGGGTAAAGGGGCAGGTAGAGGATACTACACCCACCAGAGAGAGTGATCTACCTCCACCCACTAACCCCAGACCAGTTCCAGGAACCATGTTCAATTGGTTCATTAGTTAAACCACTGCCATACATTTCTTACATGGGTTTAGGGTACAAAAATCGAATTTCTTACAGTTTTCCCCCAACTTTGCTTAAGTTAATAAAAATAAAGCAACAAAAAAGCTTGTGGTTTGGACTGAATCGGGGGACTGGAAACTAATGTAGTGTTTTATAGATCACGTGGGGACATATACTGTACAGATATACTGTACACCCTCTGTAAGATCCTAGTTAGTCCTACAGAGCAAATTGCAACGCAGAGCCACTGCCAGTCCCACCCACATTCCAGTTCACAGGCTGATGATTGGCCACCGCTCGCTGGTCAGACACAAGCCAAATACACAGATCTAGGATCAGCTTTCCCTCGTCCGTGTTGCCCCCTACGCTACTCATCTAAGATTGAGCTGATCCTAGATCTGTGCCTAATCTATAGATTATTCAGGCCGCAGAATTCTGATATTCAAAATGTCTTCCAGAAAATAAATACAAATTTAACACTTAAGCTACTAAGCCTTCTGGGAAATGTATAAACCAAAAGGTACCCTTTGGGAACATAGTGATGTGGCTAGCATTGGTCCTACAACAATTTACCTAAAAAGTCAACCTTTTTATTTTTCATTTAACCAGGTAGGCAGTTTGAGAACAGATTATTGAACCCAGGACATCATACATACAAAGCATGCACTCTACCACTGAGCTGGCAACTCCTAAATGAATTAATGACAGAAGAATATGTACATAATACTACAGAAAAGAACCGAATGATAATCTGGAACAGTGGTTTAGCATTTGCATTTTAATATAACACCTTCAGTATATTCACACATCATCTGAAAACAACAACATCCTTGCCAGCAGGGCCGGAAACAGAAAATAGGTTAAATTAAAATAAATAAAATGTCCTCATGTCTCCACTAACACTGGATTCCAGTTAAAGCTACCGCCCCCTACCTGATGGTGGTGTTTCCTAGGAAACTGCACAAGGAACTGCCTCACATTCAGGTTGTGATCCCAAACTGTTTGTTCTGTCACCTCCAGTCTCTCGGCCATCACACCTCTAAAGGAGGGCAGGTCCCCCCAAGACCAGTCAAAATGCTTCTCTTTCCTGGACGGCACGTAGTTTATCCTGATATGCTACACCTTCTCAAATAGTATTTAGAATAATTCTAACAATTCCCAGCTTTCATGAAGAACCGGGCAGCCAAGAAACAGCAATATTTAACCGCACCGCGCACACATATGGAAGCGTGCCGCTAGAGGCATCACGTGAAAACATCAAACAATGTCTTCACTCAGCTTCGCAGTCGCCAAAAACAAGCCAGCAACAGCCCCCCACCCCCACCCCCAGGTCAAACACGGACCAAAAATACGATATCTGAAAAACACGGCAGTTGTTTCATTTCACATTAAAGAACCCATTCTGAAGTTTCACCGTCTTGTAAATGTTTATGTGTTCGGGCGTATGTCCAAGTCGTCAGAGGTCAGACCTGGGACACGACACAACAGGTGGTCAGTCGTCCGCTATCACATTACTGCGGCCGCACGGCCGTATCGCTTTGATAACAGCACAGAGCAGCTAGCTCCAGATTCTGACTACACAGCTTCACGTCACACACCCGCTGTCAATCAACCATCCACATTTCCATGCGTTTCTCTTATCTCTGTGCTTTTTCACTACCGTTCCCCTATTCCTTTTCACTTTAAAACCACTTTCTTACAATTGTTTATTCCCACTCCCCACTCTTGGCTCTTTCCCTATCCTCCCATGTCTTTATCTTTCTCCCCCTTTCCCTTCTTTGCTCTCTCTCTCTTACTTCTCTCCCCTTTCGCTTGCCTTTACTTACCCTCTCTCTCACCTCTCAATCCCCTTTGTCTACACCCACTTCCTTCTCCGGCCAAGTTCTTAGCTGACCCTGTAAAACGGTGAGCTCCTCTACAGCTCCATAGGAGAACCATGTGGAGAGCAGGAGGAGGCGGTGGAAAGGAGGAGGCGAGGAGGTGAACTCAACATCCACGTCAGGCTTCAAGGCCTTTCTCTTTTCTCTGATATATGAGCAACACTTTCCACAGGATTCTGCATAGCTAAAAGCAATAAAACTGCTGTTCTGTTTTAGGGAAATAAGAGTGAGAATAAAGGAGATGTGTAATGACTTGAACCTTGTCATAAGCTCCTATGTAGTGGCTCATTATAAAGCTCATGGCTCCAATACAACGCACAACTCAGAGGGCCTCTAACCCTAACCCATCTGTAAGAATGTAAGGAAGAATGAGCAAGGATAGTAGATAGAGGAAGATGTAAAGCTAATGGACAGAAGATGATGTAAAGCTAATAGACAGAAGATGATGTAAAGCTAATAGACAGAAGATGATGTAAAGCTAATAGACAGAAGATGATGTAAAGCTAATAGACAGAAGATGATGTAAAGCTAATAGACAGAAGATGATGTAAAGCTAATAGACAGAAGATGATGTAAAGCTAATAGACAGAAGATGATGTAAAGCTAATAGACAGAAGATGATGTAAAGCTAATAGACAAAAGATGATGTAAAGCTAATAGATAGAAGATGATGTAAAGCTAATAGATAGAAGATGATGTAAAGCTAATAGACAGAAGATGATGTAAAGCTAATAGACAGAAGATGATGTAAAGCTAATAGACAGAAGATGATGTAAAGCTAATAGACAGAAGATGATGTAAAGCTAATAGACAGAAGATGATGTAAAGCTAATAGACAGAAGATGATGTAAAGCTAATAGATAGAAGATGATGTAAAGCTAATAGATAGAAGATGATGTAAAGCTAATAGACAGAAGATGATGTAAAGCTAATAGACAGAAGATGATGTAAAGCTAATAGACAGAAGATGATGTAAAGCTAATAGACAGAAGATGATGTAAAGCTAATAGATAGAAGATGATGTAAAGCTAATAGACAGAAGATGATGTAAAGCTAATAGATAGAAGATGATGTAAAGCTAATGGACAGGAGATGATGTAAAGCTAATGGATAGGAGATAATGTAAAGCTAATAGATAGAAGATGATGTAAAGCTAATAGTTAGAAGATGATGTAAAGCTAATGGACAGAAGATGATGTAAAGCTAATGGACAGGAGATGATGTAAAGCTAATAGATAGAAGATGATGTAAAGCTAATGGACAGGAGATGATGTAAAGCTAATAGATAGAAGATGATGTAAAGCTAATAGATAGAAGATGATGTAAAGCTAATAGATAGAAGATGATGTAAAGCTAATGGATATATGATGATGTAAAGCTAATAGATAGAAGATGATGTAAAGCTAATGGACAGGAGATGATGTAAAGCTAATGGACAGGAGATGATGTAAAGCTAATGGACAGGAGATAATGTAAAGCTAATAGACAGAAGATGATGTAAAGCTAATAGACAGAAGATGATGTAAAGCTAATAGACAGAAGATGATGTAAAGCTAATAGACAGAAGATGATGTAAAGCTAATAGACAGAAGATGATGTAAAGCTAATAGACAGAAGATGATGTAAAGCTAATAGATAGAAGATGATGTAAAGCTAATAGATAGAAGATTATGTAAAGCTAATAGACAGAAGATGATGTAAAGCTAATAGACAGAAGATGATGTAAAGCTAATAGACAGAAGATGATGTAAAGCTAATAGACAGAAGATGATGTAAAGCTAATAGACAGAAGATGATGTAAAGCTAATAGACAGAAGATGATGTAAAGCTAATAGATAGAAGATGATGTAAAGCTAATAGATAGAAGATGATGTAAAGCTAATAGACAGAAGATGATGTAAAGCTAATAGACAGAAGATGATGTAAAGCTAATAGACAGAAGATGATGTAAAGCTAATAGACAGAAGATGATGTAAAGCTAATAGATAGAAGATGATGTAAAGCTAATAGACAGAAGATGATGTAAAGCTAATAGATAGAAGATGATGTAAAGCTAATGGACAGGAGATGATGTAAAGCTAATGGATAGGAGATAATGTAAAGCTAATAGATAGAAGATGATGTAAAGCTAATAGTTAGAAGATGATGTAAAGCTAATGGACAGAAGATGATGTAAAGCTAATGGACAGGAGATGATGTAAAGCTAATGGACAGGAGATGATGTAAAGCTAATGGACAGGAGATGATGTAAAGCTAATGGACAGGAGATGATGTAAAGCTAATGGACAGGAGATGATGTAAAGCTAATGGACAGGAGATGATGTAAAGCTAATAGATAGAAGATGATGTAAAGCTAATGGACAGAAGATGATGTAAAGCTAATGGACAGGAGATGATGTAAAGCTAATGGACAGGAGATGATGTAAAGCTAATAGATAGAAGATGATGTAAAGCTAATGGACAGGAGATGATGTAAAGCTAATAGATAGAAGATGATGTAAAGCTAATGGATATATGATGATGTAAACTAATGGATATATGATGATGTAAAGCTAATAGACAGAAGATGATGTAAAGCTAATGGACAGAAGATGATGTAAAGCTAATAGATAGAAGATGATGTAAAGCTAATAGATAGAAGATGATGTAAAGCTAATGGATATATGATGATGTAAACTAATGGATATATGATGATGTAAAGCTAATGGACAGAAGATGATGCAAAGCTAATAGATAGGAGATGATGTAAAGCTAATGGATATATGATGATGTAAACTAATGGATATATGATGATGTAAAGCTAATAGACAGAAGATGATGTAAAGCTAATGGACAGAAGATGATGTAAAGCTAATAGATAGAAGATGATGTAAAGCTAATAGATAGAAGATGATGTAAAGCTAATGGACAGAAGATGATGCAAAGCTAATAGATAGAAGATTATATAAAGAAAAAGGATAGAAGATGGTGTATAGCTAATGGACAGAAAATGATGTAAAGCTAATAGATAGAAGATGATATAAAACTTTTGGATAGATGCTGTTTAAAATATGAAGGATGATGTAAAGCTAAAGTATAAAGAATGTTTTGTTGTGTGTGTTACCTGTCATTGTGTTGTAGCACTCCTTCGTCCTTGGTCCAGGTGATTTTGGGCTGTGGGACTCCCTCTGCAGAACACAACAGGTGCAGCTGCCGTGTGGCGTTGGTCAGGAAGGCTGTGCGCCCAATATTTACGTCTAGACTGCTCTGGAAGGTCATCAGCGGGTTCTGCCTCTGTCTAATGATCTCTGGTCTCTTGCTACTGCTCACTGGCCATTCTGAAGAGTTTGGTGTCCGGTCTGTTCAAATCGAAGACCAGGGTAGAACCTTATAACAGCCTTAACTGCTTTAATTGTATTTTAAAATCTGGTGTAATATTTTGAGTCGATTCATGAATGATATAATGAACAATATGGTGTGATTATGATTTTTTTCAAATCGTATATAGTGATGAAAGACAAAAAAAGCTCACAGCTTCAAAATAAAGCAGACATTTTGAACGCATTGTATTGTAAAAACATTACTTTTTGGGTTCTCCATCTCTTCATTGGTTAGTGTCAGGGCCAGTTGCACTCCAGACATCTCTGTGACGATGGCGTAGATGACCTGCGATGCCAGATCCTGGCTGATCTCTCCTGCTTCCGCCTGCAAACTCACATTCCTCACCCTCTCCTCTAGGCTCCAGGGTTGCGGCTCAGAGGCCCCGGTCTGCAACTGCAACACTGACGCCTCCGTACCACCAGAGGGCAATAAAGACAGACTGGGACCGCTGAG